GTATAATACGTGAATAACCAAACTATCATAGCCGAATAAAATTCAAAAATACCCGACAACAATAATTAGCAATCCACTCATGGAGCATATACAGAAGCAATGTACATGGGCAATATTAGTCTTATTTGGTAGTGTTCCAATTTCCATATATATATATATATTGAAGAACATGTAGAACTAAATGTCTTTACAAAAGTTTGGTGGAAATTTATGCAGTTACTGTTAGCTATTTTATTTATTATTATTATTATTATTATTATTATTATTATTTTTTTGGTGTACGTCAAGGGAATACTTAAATTACAGCATTGCCTTACACTTGTTCCATGATTATGCTTTATTTTTCTGCATATCTGAAATACATTTCGATCCTTTGAGAAATTCAAGCTGCGAAATATTTCTTACTGCCAAATGTAGAGTGAAAACATAGTTGGCATGTTGTGTTGTTCACAAATTAGTGTTTTGACTTGCAGAATGCTCACTATTACGAAAACCGTAAACTTTTGATCAAAGCCAAAGAGCTTGCAGCAAAGAAGGATGTTGAAGCACTGAAGGAGCTTTCACATACAGAGGTTTGACGATTAATTTGGTGCGTTGAGTTTCAAGTCGCCCTGGTAGTTTCACATAGTTGTCTAACATTTGTGTTCCTCTTCCCACTACCATGTCGAGAAATTCATGTCCTTCTTTAGTACTAACAAGGCATTCAGAGATGACTACAAGAGGAGAGTTTTGCCATCACTCGACATGAGGCAATTGAGTTCCGATGGTCGCATGAGGGATCCGGACGAGAAGCCACTTGTTTCTGTCGAGGCACCAACTCCATCCAATACGGAGAGAATTGTGAAACCAAATGCGAAACTACCTGCTAAGGAAGATTCTGTTCCTCCGTCGCACCATGATAATTCGTCTGTGCAGAAAGCACAAAAAGGAAAGAACGCTCGAAACCAGAAAGAATCAAATAAGAAAACTGAAAACATCTTGGACAAGATTGACCTCGAAGACAGAGATGTCTCTGCTGGGACGCATAAATTGCAAAAGGACGATCCTCCTAAACTTGATGAGACAAAGTTGAAGGAGATGAAGCGAGAGGAAGAGATTGCTAAGGCTAAGCAGGCAATGGAGAGAAAGAAGAAGTTAGCAGAGAAAGCTGCTGCCAAAGCAGCAATAAAAGCTCAGAAGGAAGCTGAGAAGAAACTCAAGGAAATTATTATTATTTTCAATTTTTACTTTTAGCCATTGTCTTATAACCTTAAAACTCAAAATTTGTTTGGCTCTCAAACTATTGCAGGAGCGCGAAAAAAGAGAGAAGAAGAAGGCTGGAGCCGTTGTCTCTCAGGATTCCAAGGAACCAACTGAAGCTGTTGCTGAACTAGAGAAGACGGAGGAAAAAGTTGAAACTCCGGTCCCACTGAAGAAGAAAGGCTGGAAAGAAAATAGCGATAAGCATAGAGCACGACCGAGAGGTCCAGATTCACTTCAGAAGGTTACATTCAAACGCAAGAAGGCAACTAACTATTGGCTATGGGCCGTCCCTGCTGTTTTGGTGGTTCTTGTACTTCTTGCATTTAGTTACAGCTGAGTAGAGTGGTGGAGACCTATATTAGTAAGAATGCTATAAATTCTGTATTTTTTATTTTAATTTTTGGTGTCGCATAGAAAGGACTCGACTTGAAAACTCATAATGTTGATTGAACAGGTTGTTCCGAAGCAGCATTCACTAGAGCAACCATGTTTTTTGAGGACTGATATATTTTGAAATTTTGAGTCTTGAGTAATGTTATTGAATTCTTTGTTTCTTTTGAAACGATGGAATTGTTGTATATATATTATCAACTTTTGAATTATACATTTTATAACTTTTATAAAAATTTATAAAAAATTTGATTTTTTAGCCAAATAAAAACTAAGTAAAAATTATATTAAATACTAAATAGTATGCTCGGCCATTTAATAGGTCCACTTCATTGAAGGCAAAATTGCCCTTAGCTTGGCCCAATAATCGGCCCATTTCATTGTAGTAAAGAATCATAGATCTGCCTCCCCCACTCAACGGCTCCCATAAGAGTAAATTCAAATTCAAATTTTAGTCCCTTTCATTTCTCCTCTGGCAGAGCAAAGATTTTTCGCCGATGGCCACCACTACCACATCCGAGAATTATCTCACAACTCCTACCAAGACACCAGCAGGAGAAAAATCCACATCCAGGAAATGCCACTACCACCAATCCATGGATCCATCATTGGCACGCTCCGCTTCCGAATTTAAGACCCGATTCGAGGCCTACAACCGGCTACAGGCGGCTGCAGTTGCGTTCGGAGAAAAACTTCCTATTCCGGAGATTGTAGCGATTGGCGGGCAGTCCGATGGCAAGAGCTCCCTCCTTGAAGCCCTCTTAGGGTTCCGTTTCAATGTCCGGGAAGTTGAAATGGGCACCCGACGCCCTTTGATTCTTCAAATGGTCCATGATCCCACTGCTGTTGAACCTAGATGCCGCTTTCAGGTGATTTTGGTATTTCATTTATTTATTATTATTATTATTATTTTTGAGTCATTGGGGTTTAACAAAGTTTTCGATTTATTATTTTTATTTTATTATTATTTTTATTATTGTTATTATTATTTTGAAGTGTTTGGTCTAATGCACTTGGCAACTTTCTACAGGAATTTAGGTTCACAAAATTGTCAATTCGTATTGCTGTTTTGAACTGTATGAAAGAACTAAAATGTGGAGAAAATTTGAAACCCTACGAAGTTTGATTTTACTATAAAGCATAAAATTTCGGTCATTTTATAGATACCCAGGGTTATGATTCTTATGAAGTTTAAAAATATTAGATACTTTGAGACTTTCACATGCAACTCAATCCTGAAAAGCCTGAATGTGTTAATTTCTAAAAAGGAAAAGGCTAACAAGTGACTACGAAACAGGATGAGGATTCAGAAGAATATGGGAGTCCTATTGTATCATCCACTGCAATTGCAGATATGATAAAATCGCGCACTGAATCACTGTTGAAGAAGACAAGATCTGCAGTTTCGTCCAAGCCCATTGTGATGAGAGCAGAATATGCACATTGTCCAAATCTCACCATTGTTGACACTCCTGGTTTCATTCTCAAGGTATTCAATAAAACAATGAATATTCTAATTAAGAAAAGTGAATTCCGC